AAAAACAAAAAAAAAAAAAAGAGTCTCTTGTGATATATATATATATATATATTATATATATATATATATATATATATATATATATATATATATATATAAACAAAAACAACAAAACATCTCCAAATGCCATCAAAAATGGTCAAATCTAATAAAAATTTAGTCATAACCCAGAAACATGTGGCGGCCAAGTGTGAATTCATGTCTCAGTGACATTTTCTTAATGAAGTTTTACTTCCTCATGTCTGACAAATATGCAAATGAAAGAAGTGCGAGGCGATGAAGCTAATTTTCTATTAGCAACTCCACAAATCTTTTTGATAAACATCACCAAGAGACATGAAAACGTACCCTTATTTGGCGTTTTTCTTTTCTTCTTTCTTTTCTCTATCCCTGAAGGACACGTCATTTTTATCGCCATTGTTTTGCTAACTTATCTTCCACCGGAGTTTTGGAGGTTTGGATGCTCACAAATCATTATATAGCAGCTCATATTACCGCTGAAGCATGACCTACAGCGGCCACCAGGGGGGCCACAAGAGCAATTTATTTTTTATTTTTTATAAACAATGATTTCTACATGATCTAATATATATTATAAAAATCGACTTTACAATGAAATTGTATGATTTTGTTAATAAGATATTTCAATCTGTAGAGACTCACACACAGAGAGAAACAGCAGTTAGACAATTTTATTGGACCGAGAAATGGGCGCGGAAGACGTGCGTGCTGAGAATCGCAGCGAAATTGAATGATCGGCTCGAACGAAGCTCAGGTAGGTCTTCCTCCGGGCCCAGTCACTGGTGGTGGAGCGGAGCTTGGAGAGAGGAGTCTTGAGGGGACCTGGAGGCGTCTGGGAGGCTGGTGGTGGAAACGGGGAGGAGGTGGGTTGAAACACAGCTGAAGCGGGTGGATCCGGTTGCTTCGCCTTTTTGAAGGAGCTCTTGCCAGTTGATTGGATCGAGGTAGAGAGGTGGTGCGTCCTGATTGGCTGGGGTGAAGGCGTGGTGATAGGTGATGGCGGAAGAGTCTTACAGGTTGAATTTTCGCCTAGGGCTTCATAATTAGATATTACTGTCTGTTTGCCAAAAACCCAACACTACATGGATATATTTAACCTAAAGTGACCTTGTCTTAAGTCAGTGGTTAAAAGATTTTCTTCTGGGCCCTCCTTTGGATTACAAATGACAAATGATGTATGATTTGTTTTTATTACATTTCACTGATCTAATACAAAATAAATAGTACATGTGGAAGACAGCTTTATACTAAAACAAAAGGAGGCTTGCTTATAATAACATCCTTTCAATTTTACATAAACTACAAAAACACAGGGAGGTGACCCAGTGGTCTCAAACAAAGATCCTCTTAGACAAGGATGACACACTCTTGAAAAAACACACAAACACCTCAGAATACTAAAAAAAGACAACAACTAGAAAAAGGTGAATCTCATTGGGATTTTCTGTGATAGTCCATCAGAAAGCAACAAACTGTTAGAAGGTGGAAAATAAAACATAACTTTCAAATTTTCTCACAAACAAAATTGTTGCATTCATGTCAGGCTCCTTCACTATGATAATTATGCTCTATTGGAGATGACAGTGTAGAAATAAAGTCTTCACAGTGGGGGGTCGTGACCTCTACGTACGAGATTTTTGATTAACTACTAGACATTAAATTTTTTTGTATTTTTTTTTATTCAACATTATGTCTTTAAATACACATTAACATGAATCCAACATGTAAGGAAATGATTAAAAAAGAGGCATAAAATAATGAAAATCAGTCATAAATGAACGAACACATTTAGCGAGCAGAAATCTGTACATTGTGGCAAAAGTTCAGCATTTCTGGCAGCTTTTAATTATTAGATAAAAAGTTGTGGATTATTTGCCTGCATTGACTTTGTTCTGAATAAACAAAGTCAATCTGTAATCAGAATATTTTATAAATGCAACATGAAAACAAATAAAAATAACTAAAACAAAAATATATGAAC